ATAATTTTATATTGAATTCATAAAATTTAAAAAATAAATAATAAATTATTTTATTTCCAATAATTGTAGAAATAATATGACTATCTTGGAAGTATTACGTGTTATGGGACAAGGAGCAAATGCACAATTTAGATTTGGAAATCGAAAACCAGGTTCTACTACACCTTTATTATTCGAACTTGCGGATAAACATCTTAAAGATTGTGAACGTATGTACGTTTCTTCGCCCTCATTCTATCATTAAGCAGAATGGAAAATGGGAGCATTTTATCAAAAATTATTATTTATTTAATAAATTATCAATCCGAATAAAATAATATTTGGAAAAAATTATTAATGATGAATTTTTTTCTAAATAATAGGAGAGCGATTTAAACGAAATTCGGCTCCAAATCTGACAGTTAAGAGATCTTTTATGGCAAGAAATACAGGAGAACTTCCTATAGAAATTTACGATTTTTTTATTAACGGTTTACGCTGCGAAGGATATGGTTTCAAGATATTGAATTGCATGCCATTTAAATTGAATCCAAATGCCACGAAAAAAGTGGAAATAGCATTTACGCCAGATTTCACTTTATCACGTATTGAAAGAAAACTTTTGATATCTACAAGTTTAGGCTCTGATAGTGATATCGAAGATGGTATAGTAATACTTAATTTACTCGCTACACTTCCTCCACATTCTTTGGAAGTTTGCACAGCTGTACTTGCGAGACCCTCATGGGAATATGCAGTGCAATGGGCAGCTATAAGTCTTTCATCAATATTATTAATATGTGTTCTCGCAATTTCATTTCTTGAAGCGGATCGAATATTACGGGGAGCTTTAGTTAGCTTTTCAAGAGAAAGTTCAGTTCAACCACCGCTAGATTTAAGACTATTATCACATATGCCTTTACATTCAGCGCAAGATTCGATTTCTTTAAAAGAGAAATTAATAAACGAAGAAAAGCAAAAAATAATGAAAAGAGAGGAATATCCAGATTGGGCATTGATGAATGTAAAAAAATATAAGGATAAAGATAACGTGCAAAAAGGATTAAAAATTCCTGATTGGTCTGCAGATGAGGAACGCAGATTTAAGTTGGATACCGAGGCGAAAGATATATTGTCCTTTAAACGTTGCGAAGAATCAACATTAGATAACAGTAACGTTATAAGCAATATTACATTTGGTGCCAAGAAAAGAAATAATAAAAAGCAAAATAATGTACAAGAGGTTCAAACAGATAATTGTGTCGCAGAAAATGCGTTTTCAGATATTCAAGGAACTCAAGAAAAAAAATACACTATAAGTACATTTACAAAGACAAGTCCTGTAATAAATAGGAAAGGAAAGTCTAATCAAACAATAAATATTAAAACAGAAACAAAGTTGGTCGATCATGAAGTTCAAGTTGATACTACAGGACTTCTTAATAATACTCGAAATAATAAATTAGATAATAAAAAAAAACAAACTGTGGTTGGAAATAGCAATAATGGTCATGTATCCTTCAAAAAATTCGAGTCAAATAGTAATCAAAGAAACATTCATCTTTCTGAAGAAGAAACATCATCTACAACAACGGAAAGTTCTGTTCAAGATGATTCTCCCTTATGTAAGGTAAGAATATTGTTTAAATTATATATATAAATTAAATTAATAAATTTGTTTTATGAATTACGAAATATTTTAATGATAAAAAATATTATTTATTACAGAATTTTGATCAATCTTGTGGAAAATCTGATAAATTACAAAGAAAACCTGTAACTAAAAAGACTAAGCCCCAATCAATTACTTCTGTGCCATGTGTAGATTATAGAGATAATTATGAAGGTGACTGTGATGACGATGAATATGATAAAGAAAGACATAATAATCCAAATAGATGGAAAACAAATACAAGATCTACTATGAAACATCATATTCATGCAACACGTACGGTTGAGTCATCTTTCAAATTACCTCGGCAAAATAAAAATCCTCCTAGGAAAGATAAAGGATCTCAGAAACGACGGGGCATTGATAAGGGACATATAAAAAGTACATAAAATACATATACATAATATAAACATAAGATATTAATAAATTAACAAAAAAATATTTATATAACTTTTAATGAAATTTTAATTAATTATTTTATTTTATTATAGCAACAACATTAAATGGAAATGTTAACCAAAAAGAAGATTCAATGCGAACGCTGGGAGCAATTTCTACTCCATTGCCACCACCACCATCATGTTGGGGTGAAAATCGAGCTAGATTTAGCGATGTCGTAGCACGAAATCAAGAAAATATTTCGCCGTTTTCGAACTTAAATAAGTTACATAAAACTCAAACGCATAATATACCAATGGTTTTCAATAATGACACCAAAGATTTAGATTATACGAAACAGCAATCGAATCAAGAATTAATATCGAGAACGAAGGAATACAGAATGATATCAAAATCTCCATCTATTTGTATTCAATCTATTGAAAAAGAAAAGCCACTCAGTCAGGATTCATTGAAGATACAGAATAATTCGCAACATTCAAATAGTTATTTCATAAATGCCTTTACGGAATCACCGGCAAGTTAAAAGATAATTGAATTCATTGTTATATAATATTAATATTAAGTTATAATTTGAACTTCCCTTTTTCAGTTTGAACGAGAATTGGTTCCATATGATGATCTTCCAGAAACTGATGAACCATTAATGGAATTAGAAAGTCCAGAAGAAGATACACGATGTCAGTTATGGGAAGACAATAATCCTATGCTTAAATTATTATCTGATAGTACAAGTGGATTTCAATTGGAATCAGCAAAATCTTCAGAAAAACCTCCAATGCTAACAGATACATTAAAAGGTGAAAAATATATACATAATAATCTGAGTAAGAATTCAAATTAATTTAAATAAGATATTGAGATTAATTTAAAAACTTATATATCAAATAAATTTTCTTTTTTATAAAATATTACATAATTATAATAATATAATATTTTTTTAATTTAAAATAAACAAATTATTATAAATTTATATTTATAGATAATTGGGTAACAGTTGAAACAAATTGGGAACCCTTATATACTAGAGCAGCAGTAGGAGAAGAAAGAAGCGGTGTTTGGGGAATAAATACAGGGGGTGTATGGGCTGCTGGTCCATGGGGTGCAGCTACGCCGCCTGTAGTTTCACAATTATCTTCATTACAAACAGAAACGGATACACAAGTAAAAAAATAATAATTTTATATATATATATCTTGATTTTATTATATTTTAAAATGATCTTATTTAAAATATTTTATATTTTACATTTTTATTATGAAATATTTAATTATTTTATATCTTATTTATTATTTTAGGAAAGATCAGGTTTCGATCCATTTCGTTCACTCAGTACAATATGGACGCCATCATCTTCAGAGTCTTGGAAAAAAAAACACGAAGACTAATCTCGTTTCCAAAAATTTTCGATATTGTATCTTGTGATATCTAGACCTGGTTAAAGCAATTTTTTTCTAATATGGAAAGTAATAATGTATTTATTAGCAACACCTTTCGTGATCGATAACGCTTAAACTACCAGCTGGTTTTTGTTATTATTCATGTTTTTGCGTATTTGTGATATGTTGTTGAATAGTACCTCGCATAATAATACGAATAAGTTTGGAGAAAAAAATTGTTTTGTACTCGTTAAATTTTTATGTTATCATTTATTGACTTATGTTATTATTGGTATTTTAGCATGATATGTTGAACTATTATTGATTTGAAATCACAAGTTTTTTTTATGATTCCTAGTTAGAATGACCAACTAAAGTCTGAATTGGAAATAATAAATGAAACATAGAATAATCAAAAAAATGAATTTTTAAAAGCAAAAATGTTTCTAGTTTATGAATTTTGTCTTTTGATTAATTGTTTTTTTTATACTTTCTACATAATATAAATGAAAAATAATCACAATACTCAAAGAATGTTGGTCTTGATGTTACATAAAAAGAGGTAATAATTAAGTTATTTGGAACGAGTGAGAACTGTGATTTTTATAGTCTTGACTTGTAGAAATTTCTTTGGTAAGTTTTCAAAACATTTTACAAAGTTGTGATGTATACAAAACAAAATAAAAATGTGTACCTACTCTTCAAGACTGGTAATTGCTGTGTTTTAATAATTTGAATCTTATATTCATAAATAATGTTCTAAAAAAGTGACTTATAATATTTAATAATTTTTAATAGTAATTTAAAAATTTAGTTATTAATTCTACTAAAGCTTTAATGATAATAGAAATGTTATGTTTGAATAAAACAATAATTTAATAAAATTAGTTTTATTACAAAAATAGTGTAATATACATTTATGAAATTTTATACATTTTTTTTACAATAACACAATGACTACTTGCAATTTTATATTATGTGTTAAAAAAATCACAGTTATAATATTTGCATATTACAGATATTTAATATATAACATAATTTATTATAAACTTTCTTCTTTTAACTTTAATATAAAATGCATAAAATTATAATTATTTGTTACAGATTATAAAATTGTTTGTCTACAACCAGGTTTTGTCATATTATTCATAACTCGTGATTTAGTTTGTTGTATCCTTTGGAGCAATAGCTGTAAATGTAAATATTGAATGTGAAAAATTCATTTATAAGCCTGTAGTCAAGTTATTTATAAAAATTTATGCTTTATTTCAATTTAAATATTTATACATACTATATTTTCATTTTCTATTTTCTTTTGTAATTTCTTTCTATTTATTGCAGAACTACTTATTCGTGAAGGTGGGATATTTTCATAAAATACTTTTTCTTTTGGTTTCTGTTGTGCCATTATCTTTCTTAACAAAATTTGATTTTCCCATTCGATTTTTCGTATTTCTTCATCTGTAAAACTCATATTTTTTCTTCTATTTTTTACTTGTTTGATTCCTATGGAATTATCTTCAGATATTGAACTTCTACCAATAGAATTTATAATTTCATTGTTTTGCGTTATATTTTCAGATTTTTCCTGTTCGTTTTTAATTTCCTCGTGACTAAATTTGCGCGTACTGATTTGAGGATGAGGAGAAAAATGAGAGTCATTAAGTGATCTTAATGTACCATTAGTTTCTTCAGATTCATCATAAGATTCATCAGAACAAAATGAATCATTACTATAAATAGAATCTTCATCTATAGTATCTGCAGTATCTTTTAATTGATCTGCAGTTAGTTCAATATCTTTTGGAGTTTTCAGTTCTAAATCACAAGCATTTTCTTCATCCGTTTCTTCTTCATCCACCTCATGTATACTAGGCACATGATTGAAACTGTCTTTCATTTCAGAAAACTGTTCATGAACTATTTCATCTGTCAATGTTAATGTATATTGACACTTACAATCAGGCTGAGTATCTTTTAAACATGACATGAGAATAAATGTCAATAAAATATTTTGTAAAAAAAAGATAAAATTATTAATAGTACAAAATTGATCCGAGAATATTTTCAGGTTAAGAAATAAGTGTAATACGTGTTTCAATAACCATGGTAACCAAATAACAAAACAAAATAATTTCTAATTAAACGTTATCAAATATAAGTAAGCTATATATTGCTATGATATGTTTATAAATTAAAAAGCAATTAAGATATTTTTTTTTATTATAATTTTATATCTACATTCTTTTATTACATTATCTTTTATTATAAATAATCAACTTCATTCAAAATGTATTTAATTAATAATATTAAATGCGGAATCATATAATTTTCACATTCATTCAACATTCATTTTATAATTTTTACTTAAATATAAGATTACTATATATAAGATTTCCTTGATTTTTTCATTAAAAAATTTCACTTATTTTTATATATTGTTTTACAAAATATATAATTATCATAATATTTTAATACATTTAAAAGAGAATACAGGTACAAAGATCAAAATGAATTTTTTTTGTTTTTTGTAATAATATATTTTGATATAAAAGTCTAAAAATAATATTTTAATCATTAGCAAATCCAAATACTTTTAGACTACCAGCATCACGTTTTCGATCATAAGTATCTTTATCATCACATGCATATGCTAACAAATATTGTTTTGGATGCCATGCAACTGTAAAAGTTGCTGCCTCTACTGGTATATCTGTAATTTTTTCTCCAGTTTCAACTTCACCTATATCTATTACAAGATCTTCAGATGCTGCAGCTAATAATTGTCCATTATAAGAAAATGATATAGTTCTTACTGGCCATTCTAATCTTGAAAATGTTCTTAAACAACACAATTCATCTGCATCCCATAAAGAAACTAATGCATCTGCTGAACCAGTTGCAAAATACCTTCCAGTAGGATCAAATTCTATACAAATACATGTTCCTGGATGTGCTTTAATTACATGTAATAATTCTAAATCTGGATAACTTAAGATGTGTACACAGCCTTGACCATTAGTTAAATAAAATGTATCAGAATCTTTATTCCATGAAATTTCATTCACTTCAAAATTGAACTGTTCTTCTGCACGAATTTTCATTACTCGTGCATCAATAAAAGTCACTAAATCTTCTTTGTTTCCTACAGCTATTGTATTACCATCAGGTGACCATGATATATTGATATTTTCACCTCTTGTACTGATATTTGCTGTGCATTTTTGAGTTCTTGTATCCCATATACGAACTGTCTTATCTCCACTTGCAGTAGACAATAATTCTGGATAAAAGGCATGCCAGCATAGTTGATCAACACTACCACCATGTCCTCTGAAAGTTGTTTCTTGTTTCTATAATAAAGTATATTAAAGATTAAAATCAAAGTTTTAATAAATAATTTAAAGACTTTTTAATTCTATAATAATCAAATTTAAAACATAAAAAATCGATATGTAATACAATTAAAAAATAAAATATTTCTTGTATAAAAATAATCATAAATAATTTAAAATATTCTATAAGATTTAAAAACTAATTATAATGAAATTATAATTAAACGGTGTGTGTATGTATATATATATAAAATAATAAATAAATATTTATCAAATTAAATTTCAAAAAATTGAAAGTATACTAAATAATAGAAAAGAGGTTATGTTTACTTACTAAACGATCTGGACAAAGAGAAAAAATGCAAACAGATTTATCAAAAGATCCTGAAGCCAAAAGTTTTCCATCACAACTCCATCCTACGCTATGTACTTTTGCAGAATGACTTTGTTGTTCTCTAATTTTATTATGTGATTTAAAATAATTTATCAGTTCATCAACACGAGAAGTGGACATTGTTGTTTTCATTAACTATTAATTAAGTTATGTAATTACTTAATTATTCTTTTTTTGCGATAAATTATCTATAAATTAAATGAAAAACAAATGACATAAAGATATTTACATAATTGTTAAAATATATTATAATAATTATTTACATGTTTATTTTAACCATAGATAAACTATCAGATAGATTTAATATATATATATATAATAAATATAATAAATATTTTTAATAACGTAATTTAAGAATTTATAAATATCTTAATATTGATAATTTGAATTATTACTGTTTTATAAAATAAAATTATAAATAAAAAATAATAGGAATTATTGGAATTAAAAGAACATATATAATTAAAAATTATTTAATATAATTTAAAATTATTTAAGTATAAAAAAGCATTCATAAATTTTGCTCAAAAAATAATTTTTATTATTTTTATTAAATTTTTTTATATAAAAAAAATTTTTTTAATATTTTGAATCTGTGCTACAAATTAATAAGAATATGATAATTAAAAAATTTATATTAGTTAAATAATATCTACTAGATGTCATTTATACATATTTTATAAAAATAATTTACTACTAACAGATGGCGCGAATATTTTCATATTTTAGAACTTTAATTACAAATCAAGAAAATCTAATAAATTATATTATCAATGAATTTTAATTGAAAATTAACTTCATAAATACTTTAAAAAAAACGGGACGGTAACGTCCTCTTAAGAATGATCGATATGTAAGAAATTTATTCATCAAAATTGCAATTGTATTTGTATTACAACGAAGATGCGAATGTTCATACGTGATATACTTGTAAAACATCACCTGATCCGATTATTCCTATCGCCTGATTAATATATTTGATAAACTGTTTACCGCGGTAAGTTTATGACCAGTTCAAGAACAATGTCGACATCGTTAATAGCATTTTAAGAATTGGGACGTGATAATGATCACACGAATTATCCAGATTATTTCAAACCGAAATAACGAGTATTTTAACAAAATTAATGCTTTTTTATCTCTAATAAATTTCTACTGCCAGTAGTTAAAATTCAACGTTTAAAAACGTTTAAAAATTAATGATTTATAATGCCACGCAGTCGTTTGGATGCTGTTTATAGAAGTATTCTTCTCACTAAATTTTTTACGAAAGGCTGGGGTAGTCCTCAAAATTTGAAAAGGTAAGAATACTCTTGATGAAACTTAACAACTTTGATTTTATATAATATAAATTTAAATATTTGATTCGTGTTCGAGAGTATTCGATATTAGTCCTATGATTGTAATATAAATAAAATGTATATACTATATTATGCATATACTATATTTCATGTACTACATTAATATTATTATTATATATATAATATTTATATATTATATTATATAAATAAGTATATATATAATATGTAAAATATATTTATAATATATATATATATAATTTATAAATAATACTTTTAATACTAATTATGATTAAACTTAATATATTATATAAATAAATTGCACTAAAGATGTTTTTTATAAGAATTATTAGAAATTATATATAATATATATATAAATTATAAGAAATAATATAAATATATATAATATAAATAATATATGAATTATAGAATAATCATTAAATTTATATTTCAGAATATTTGAATTTAGAAGACTTCTTGCTAATAGAGATACATGTTATAAACTTATACCTCGTGATTATCCAATCAACATAACTAAGGTAATATAAATATTTTAAAATTGAGATTATTGAAAATAGAAAAAATATTATATTTATTATTTTTATATGTATTTAAATAGGATGAAGAATGGTCAGATTGTCATATAATAGAAGGTCGTTTTGAAAGTCCATTCAATAAACATCTTCCTCAAATAATGCCTTATGAGACAATAACTGCAAATTTTCAATTGGTCTTACCAAGAAAATGGTACTCTCATAAAATAAAGCCTATTTGTTTACATCTTGCAGGTACTGGAGATCATGTAAGTAAACTAATCTTGAATTAAATTAATTTTTTTTATAATATATATATATATATATTAAATTATAAAATTATAATATATAATATATAAATTATAAAATCAATGATTTTTATTGAAATGTTTTATATTGAAATTGACTTATTTATTATCTATTATACCTATTACCTTTCAGTTCTTTTGGCGAAGAAGAAATTTAATTGCCAAACCTCTACTGAAAGAGTCAGGAATTGCATCTTTATTATTAGAAAATCCATTTTATGGTACAAGAAAACCACAGAATCAAATGTAAGAACTTATGTTCAGAAGGTTTGTAATAGTAAACAAATATTGTATTTTAAAAGAATATGTATGTACATTAATATTGATTTATTATTTATAGACGTTCTTGTTTACATAATGTCTGTGATATTTTTGTTATGGGAGGATGTTTAATAATGGAATCAATTGTTTTATTAAATTGGTGTGAACAGCAAGGATTTGGACCTTTAGGACTCACAGGTTTATCAATGGGTGGCCATGTTTGTATTTTAACTTTTCTTTGTAATTTTAAATAACACAGTTTAATAACAGAAATAAATTTAATTATTGATGATATTAATTATTTTATAATATAAATATCAATAATAAATATTGATTTGTTTAGATGGCTTCTTTAGCAGCAACTAATTGGCCAAAACCAATACCATTAATTCCTTGTCTTTCTTGGTCAACAGCATCACCAGTATTTACTCAAGGAGTAATGAGTGCTTCAATTAACTGGACACTTTTAGAAAATCAATATTTTGCAAATGAACTATATCAAAATGATCTCGCCAAAATGGTGAAAATCATAGGTAAAGAAGTAAGTAGCTGATTATTTAAAACATAAAAAAGATTTTTAAATATAATTATAAAAATAATATATTTTTAATATATTTTTACAAAATATATTTTTAGTATAAATATTTAAGCCATTTATTTTTAGGATGCGTTTTTAGCTGGACAACATTTTGCACAGCATTATCCTTCAAGCATGAAAAGAGTTAATGAATTAAAGAAAATGACTGAAAATGTTACTAATAAAGTAAATACTATAACTGCCTCTGAAACTGTGATCAATAATAGAGATTATAAGAATTATGATGGACAAAACAAAGACAATACTTTAAAAAATGAAATTGCTGAAGAAAAAGCAGCAAGGATATTTCCTTTAAATATATTATCTAACAAATTTAAATTAAAAGATTCAAGTACACATAAAGGCATGTATATTTTTAGCATATATGTATGTATGTATATTTATATTAATGAATTCTAAATTTATTTTTTCTTTAACAAAATTGATAACATAACTATCTTAAATATTTTTAAATAT